CTTGTTCTTCTTCTGTGTCTTTTTGGCCGATTTCCTATTCGACTTACCCGTCGATCTCGCCTTCTTCACAGGTATTGCATCATCGGCATCCAGCGCCGGCTCCTTCGTTTTGCAGCCTCCTCGCGCTCCTCCACAGCGCGTGGCAGATCAGGGTCCTCACGTTCAAGCTGCGGTTGCAGCTGTTCGTTCTGCTTGTTGTCGAGCGTTTCAACATTCTTAATATGCTGCGTTGTGATGACGATCCTATATTTTGGTAAATAGACCTTGTACCCCTTCGTCTCGTCGTTCTTACCGACGATCATTCCCACTTGGGCGCGTGGTTTCCACGCCTTCTTGCCCGGGTTGCGGTACGCTGTTCACGGGCTACCAAACGTCACCACGTCCGATAAGTTAGGCACTGCACCGGTCAGCATCTCCAACGGAGACATCCGCTTTGGGTTTGCACTGCACGCCCTACCACCCCAATTTACCCCAGCTGAAATGATGACGTTTTGGCGGTTGTTGCTGGAGTATCAAGCGGAAGCCTTGCTTCCGGACTCGCTTGTAGAACTGCTATCGTTTAGGCGTCTGCTGGCCTTTTTAAACGCTCGCTATGGGGCAGTGGGCGCCATTCCGCATCGCCATGCTTTGGTGGACGTGTACTGAGCGAATACGCGGGTCTGCATTCCATGGAACAGCGAGATTCTGTCAGAGCAATTCAGAATCGTACAGGAGGAAGGGTGAATTTCCTATCGGACGTCTGGGAAACAATTTCCAAGATACATGTGCTTGGTTGTCTGATCGCGTTGTTCAGTCGAATAATGACCTATGGCTTGAGGCCGAGCAGTGATCGCCACGATGGACTAGCCATAGCCAAACACATGGAGGGGGTGATTGAAGAGCTACTAGCGTCGGAGTGGAAGATTGGCGCGGTTGTGACTGATAACGATGGCCAGTGTGGCCGGGCCCGTCGCATTTTGGCGCCTCGGTACCCAAATATCGCGTTCTGGATTTGTTTTGCGCACGATATCAATAATCTGGCCAAGGCCGTCCTCAAAACAGTTTTCAAAGAGATTTCAGAGGATGCGGCCGGAGCTGCCAGTTTCCTGAATACTTCAACATCAAAATGGCTGGTTCGTGCAGCTAAGGCAATGAACAGGCGCTATGGTGATAGTTTAGCCATTTTTACTCTATGCGAGACCAGTTGGAATTCGACGCAAGCATGTTTTGCATCGCTCTTGCGGGTTCGAGGTGCTTTGGAAGATATGGTGTTTTCGTACAGAAACAGTAGTGATCTACCGAATAAACTTCGCGTGCTTGGAGATGTCGAGTTCTGGTCAAAGCTGGAGGCAGCGGAAAAGATTGTCCGTCCTTTGTGCAAGGCTTCCTTCCGACTGCAGAGAGATGAGAACACCGTGGGCGACGTAGTTCTTTCCTATATGGAGATTTACAGTGGGTTTGCAGAATTGAGTGACAACCTGACTGAACTGGTAAAGCTTCGTTGGAATGCCTGCGAACAGCCGTTATTCATGTTAGGATATTTTTCTCCATCCGAGTACGTGGTGAAAGCCCGAGAGCTTCCTTCGACTGTGCTTACCGGACTTGATGATGTGTGCCAATTCGCACAGTATTACTATCATCGCTTTGTTAGCGATGAGGATAGTGGACTGAGGGGCGAAATGTTCAAGTGGATCCGTGGAGAGTACACCACCTCACGCAGCGCAGATTTCAGTGAAGGCTCCGTGGTAATGTTTTGGGAGTATGAAAGCAAGCCAAAGCAAAACAGCAAATTGCGACACCTTGCTCTGACAATCTTGTCCATCGTTGTTAACACAGCTACATGCGAGCGCTTGTTTAGTGAGCTCGCACTCATTCAAACGCCGAAAAGAAACCGCATGACGATCGAAAAGACTATGAAGCATCAGGTG